AATATACCTGGCGTTTAGGGGTATTTTGTTTTATAATAATCTTTTAATAATAATAATATTTATTTCAGCAATTAGATAATACATTCAAAAAAATATATATCAAATGCACCATAAATTTGAGACATTTGTACGTGCATTTGTTCAGTCTAATGCGACATCCCTTACTAGTTATCAAAATAAATAAGAACTAAAAGTTCAGATTTTCACGAAATTACATATTTTTCCATTACAATTGTTTGGACAACACCGTGTCTTTGTCAAATGTAATATTTACAAACTACTTGATACTATCTATACCGAAAAATGACCAGAAAACCTTAATTAATGTTGCTGTGTATAAAAGAGTGAAATGCAGCCATTTTGTGTGTATAAGGGTGATTTGAGCCGTTATGTATGACTGTGACCGTGTGTGAAGGTTTATGATAAATGGAAAAATCTAATTTGTTTTGCGTTTTCGTAATAGTTAAGTCTAAAAATTAATAGAGGTATCCTGCTTAATCTCGATAGTGAATTTTATGCGATTATATAATAAGTTAATGTAATTTAAAAAAGAATTCAATTGTCTCTCTGTTAGAGTAAAAAATATACAGGGTGTTTTCTATTTAAAAAAATACATTTTTTTTTCAAAATCCAACGTTCGATTGTTTTTCTGGTTTTCACTATCGTAATCAGTGGAACAATGCCGACCAAAGAGTCCTTAAACAAAGCAATGCCTCGTTCATTTTCATATCGGAATATATTACAGTGAGCCGATGGGAGTTTTTAAATTCCCCGTTCCCTAGGAAAGCCATCGAATTTACTTGGCGAAACAATATTCTGTTCCCGACACGTTCGGTATACAATGCCGGGAGGGGTGCAAAACGGTAGGTCTATCTTGATGGGTTGAAATATTTGAGTGACGTCGGCATTCGTTTCAAGGGGATGATCGCAACTTTGCTCTCGGTATTTCGTTATTAATTCCGCGTCAAAGTAGATACATATTTACTGCTACGTCGTAATAGAAGCCGATAAAATTGGAACGGTTTTAATTTACACAATATTTTTAATAGCAGTTAAGTCAAAATTTAAACTTGCGGCTCACACCAACAGTGAAGTCGACGTTGAGCCCGACGACTGGCGTCTTAAAATTGTTTCTAAAAATAATACATCAGAGAATTTACCCCAAAATTGAGTAACACATTGAAGATATTCAGGCTCTGGTCAGCATTCAAGTTCTAACTCAAAGATGTCGAGATATGAACTGCGATGTATTTATGTGCTTCGAGAAAGTGTCTGACAGAGGGCAACTTCTACCAGCACCGGCAAATGGGAAATTAGGAAATGATATAACTGAAAGCATCTCAGTTAAAAGATACCTCCTCAGAGTTGCATTTTGTCATCATTGCTTTTCAATTTATACTCGGAGACAATATTCCAAGAAGCTTTACGAAATATCGAAGACGGAATAAAAATAAATGGGGTAATAATGAGTAACTATTGGCAGATAATATTAAAGGACTTCAAAAACTCCTAGATCAAGTAGTAGTTTCATCCAACCGTTACGACCTTAACTTCACATCAAAAAGACCAAACTTGTGGCTGTAACTAGAGAACCGAATCTACATGCAGAACTGTGGATCGGCCAATGTAAAGTACAAAGAGTCAAGGAGATTAAATATCTGGGACCATTATTAAGCGAGGACTGGAACCACTCTCTGGAAATAAAATCCAGAATTGAACAAGCAAGAGCAAGGTTCATACCTATAAAAATGTCGTATCTAGACACGAACTTAAAATTGAGCTCAGAATGAGAATGGTCCGATGTTACGTATCCTCAGTCCTGTTGTATGGAGTAGAATCTAATAGAGACTATCTTAAAAAAGCTGGAAGACTTTAAAATGTGGATGTATAGGCGCATAAGTTGGATAGATCGGTTCACTAATATAGAAGTCATGAACAGAATGAAGAAAAATAAAGAAATCATTGCTAACATGAGACATCCTGAAACATATGACACGGAGTATTTGATCATTCAGGGTCAGATTGAGAGAAGACGAGACCCAGGAAGAAAAAAAACATCTTGGCTGAAAAACCTATGACGGGACAATCAATTAATATAAAGGGCGCACTAAATGAAAAAATCATTTTAGCATAATTAATTTCAATTTAGTTTTGTTTTACCCCATACGCGCATACATTCCAGAAATGTTCGCACAGTTTTCGACAAAGCCTAATAAATTAGATTTCCCGCACAGCAGAGTTCGCTGACGGAATTTATTAATAACTTTCGACGCCTGTTTTTTTAATCACGTAAATGGTTTTTATGTTCATAAATTTTTCCGATATATAACACGCCAATAATTTATGTCCCATATATGCCGAAACGGAAAACGAATCTTGGTGGTTTATTCAAAAAAAGTATAAAACTTTTTCAATATGGTCTCTTTCCCTACTTTCGTAATTGAATTCAAATCGGACCCTATGCCGTGCTTAAAAGTTTTCTAATGACGTTTGAAAATTCGCTTTGACGGACGACATCGTGCGTGGTATAACAAAGAAAGCTTACGGAATTATTTTCATCGAACTTCGAGAGACTGAAAGCAGCTTAATGCTTGCACAGACAGTGGAGACAGTGGAATATTCGTTTTTTATGCGATTCGATCTGCTGGCCGGCTAATATCCTAAAAAAATTCAAGGTTAAGCGTTAAGTATTCTCTATCATCTGGTCTCCAAGCGTGGTGCTGAGATGGAGCTGAGTATTTTTTGCTTTTCCGCCTGTACTAATAATAATAATAATAATAATAGACTTTATTCAGGTTTCAGGTGAACCGTTCAAATTTATATGAAAATAAGATATACATGCTTAATATTTCGAAGGCCTAGTCACCATTATCACGTTTTTTTCTTCTTTTTTTTTAGACTCCCATCATTTTTCTTTCCATATAGTTTTACATATTCTGTCCCAACTGGAAAAAGTCAATAGAAGGTTAAGATCAAACAAAAGTATGGTTAGGCTACTTTTTATTTTTCTTTTGGTGAATTGGAAAGTTGTTTTTGTAAAGTACCTTAAATTTTTGAACATATAAGGTAAACATGACATTTTAATGAATTGTGTCCAGGTTCGTGGCTAATGGCTTTTAGCAATATTTTTCGTTGTTTTTCTTGAATTTGTAATTTAATGAATGTGATATACAATTTTCAAGTTGAAAATAACCAAAAACTTACGAAAAAATATTAAGCTTGTAACTGTCCACACGGAAACATACCTCGTAACGTCGCCAACAGCTGAAATGTCCATCCACATCACGTTTTTAGCGGGAAATTGTTTATTTCAAACTTCAATTATTTATTACGACGTTAATTTCACTTCAAGAAAAAATATTTAGGGGGAATACTTTTTAAGTCGTATTATTTCCATTCAATAAAAAAAATATCTGCAAGGCAAATAAGCAAATCGATTTCATTAACAAAGGAGTCCCGCGGTTTGTCGCACTGCATCATGGGCATAAAAATTTTCCACCTTAATCCAATGCATAGTGTGTCTGTAAGGTGTTTGATCATGTTATTTGTTATTTTATGGCATCCCGGAGCTTTTCAATTTCTGACTTCCTTGGTTACTTGTATTTCTACTCTTATTATGTTACTACTGTTTATCCTTTTTCTCCTAATGCTGCCTCATTTCGTTGTCTGTTGTTAATAACTCTCCATTTTTGTTTTTAATTTTATGCTTTCTGAGTGTTTTGATCGTGCTGAAAAACAACTTTCGATTAGCTTTGCTATTATTTTTTGCCATTTTTCCAAAAAACTCCATCCATTTAGCCCTTTTTCTCTCAGTATTATAAATATCAAAATTTTCTTCGTTTCTGCTGTTGAGATATATTCTCCATATTTTTTATCTCTTTATTTGTTTTTTCAACTTTTCCTACTACCAAAGTGTTTGTTTTCTATTGTTGTTTTCTATTACTTCCACAGATTTCTTTATTAGTGTCTAGTATTTTATTCTTGAAGTAATTCCCTAATATTCCTTTGCTGGCGTTTTCCATTCCTTCTGTTTTGTTTGTAGTGGCATTTTATATCGGTGTTATTTTATATCTGCGGTTTCTTTCCCAATTGTAAGTATTTATTGACTAGTATTCTATGGTTTTGGTTTTTCTTGATGTGTTTTTGTAGATACTATTAATTGCATCTTTCATCTTTGAGACAACCAAATGGGGATTGCTCCCGATTTCTCACTGTGGTATTAATTATATTGTTTCTGTTAGTTTTCTTTATCAAAACCCAGTCGTTGCTTTGCCTGACATTTTCAGCATGTGGCTCAATTACAGTATTAACTTCTTTGTCTTTCTTCCCAACTTTGCTACTAAAATTTCCCTCTACCTCTTATTTGTTCTGTTGCAATTGTTAGTGTCTCCTTTCCATTCAGAGGATGCTTTCGTTGACTCCTTATATTAGTAAGTCGTCTTTATCCATCTTTGCCTTGCTTTCTTTGTTTCTGTCATCGCTAATGGATCCAGCCCTACTCTTTCAAATTCCTTTCCAAGTTGTATTTCTTTATCTACTGTATTTTGTGGTCCATGTTATTTCCATTTTTCTGTTTTGTTTGCCTCGTTCATGGTTGCCATAGCCCTTGCAGTCAAACGAGTAGAATATACCAATTAGGCTAATTTTTATCAGCTTTTTGTCATTTTTACAACAATTTTTACAAAGTTAGTTAATAAAGTTTAAAAAAATCCAAAATATAAAAGAAAATCCTGCAGTCGTTGATACTGTTAATTGGTCACATTCAATGGTAATTTATGACAGCGTTAACTGTCATCTGTTGCGACTCTAGCGACATGCGGTTGTAGTGTAAACTATTATTTCCAATATCCTTTGTTCATCTTCGGCTAAGACATTCCAGTCCGATTTTAGTGTCGCCGAGACGCAAAAAACTTTTAACGACTCCGATCGCTTGCGTGCCAAAACGGGCCGACGCTGGAGCGTCCCGACGCCGTCGACGCTTATCACAGTGCGACGCGCTCCGTCCCAATAGTAGCAACGCTTTCGCAGGGTTGACAAAGCTGAAGCTCGCAAAGTTTTCACCACTGAAACTTTTGAAGTTTCGCGGTGCGGCAAGGTGGCTTTTACCTGTTCGGTTTCGATAGCAGCGTCAAAGGTAAGGTGCTGTCGCGATTATTATTAATTAATTTAATTGTTTGGGCTCACCTCCAGGAGATGGTAAAACCTTAACGACCTGTCTCGAGCTAGAGTAGAAGTACCGACGCCTTTTTTTTTAATTATACGGCGAATTATGATCAGGTACAAAAAATAATTAGCCCGTTAAAAAAAATTCACGATTGCAGCTTTTATTTTTTTATTTTACTATATACATTTTAACGCTTTTAATTTGCTTTTAAAATTTAATTTTAACTTTGCGTGGCCCTCGATTAATTCGATTGCCCATTTGCAAAGTCATATCATAAGATGGTCAAGGGGAACTTCCAACACCCAATTTTTTCTGAATTATTTTCCCCATTCCAAAAAGCTTTATAATTGTGGCACTTATTTTTTTTTATTTATATTTAAATTAATTAATATATTTCAACATTTTTCTTTTTTATTAAATTAAAATTTTAACTTGGAGTGCTGCTTCATAAATTTAATTGCCAATCTACATAGTTTATTTTAGGTCATAATATCATAAAACGGTAAAACGGTGAATTTAGTTTTTTTTTAACGAAACATCATTAATCAAAATTTCAATACCCTATTTTGTCTGCCTTATGTTTATTATTACTTTTATTTTTTATTTTAATAAAATGGTAAAAAAGAAACTGCCAAAATTATTTTTTTTAACGGAATATCATGTACGTTTATGCAAAATCTCTGTAACATATAATTTCGTGCAAATTTGAACTTCTTATAACTTACATCTTATCAAGCTGGACGGAAACATTTATTGACCAGGTCTACTGTAAACAGAATGACCCTGGTCTGATTTTATTAACTGAAAACTACATGTGTGGAGTTTTCTGCACAGCGGTGTACATAACGGGTAGGTAGGGGTAAATTATTCTTGCAAAAATCTTTGCGAATGGATATTTCATTTTGAAATAAACTTGCCTCTTGATTCTCGTATGGTTGACTTTAAAACCTAAACCAAAACCTTTTAAGAAATATGTATACACGGCGACCTATGGCTACACGGCCAAACATTTGGGATTAATTCGATTATCACCTCACGTTTCTACAAAGATGGGTCCAAACTAGCTTAGTTTTCAAGATATGTGGTCTCAATTGTCTTTAAATCAATTTTATTAATTAATTAATTAATTACATTATATATTAATTATTTACATTAATTAATAACATTTCTTTGACTAACTTGGGTGGAACGATTGCAAAATATATAAATACAAATGTTCACATTCCAAATGCACTGCATGAGAGTTCTCAAATTCAATTTGCATTCGAAACTTTGCTGTTCGCAAGTTATGACGATTAGAAAGTCAAATTACTTCCCGAAGTTCCGAGCACAATATCGTTGCTTTTCAAAAAAAAAAAAATGTTCGACATCGTTCATCGTTGGGCAGATTTTCGGAAAAGTACTATAAGCCAGGAGTGGCAAAATGATCTAATGATCAATTAGATTTAAATACCTCTCCTTTATTGAATTGAAATTCTCACAACAATTTTAATTAAGGTTTTGTTGCCATTTTTCGGTACATATAGTAGCAGGTAGTTTGTAAATATTACATTTGTTAAACAATTATCATGTGAATATATATAATTTCATGAATATCTCAACTTTTAGTTCTTATTTATTTTGTGAAGTGGATTTTCATCAAGTAAAAGTCACCTCAGTTCAATACAGAGGACTTAGTTTCGTGTATTAGTCACAAAAACTTGATTTTATAAGTAATCTTTTCTTTTCTTTCCAAACTAGCAACAACAACCCATTATTATTGACAAACTTTTGTGTGAATTTTCGTTTTTTTATTCTAAGTAAGGGAAAATAATTGTCGAGCCTGAAAATCATCACTGAACCCAGAATTAAAATACTTTACATCTGCTCTTTAGAGATATTAAATGTTCAATCGCAAAATACACTTCATCACAACCTTCCAAAAACAATCCCACACTTGCCACTGTTGCCCTTCCTTACATTCAAAACAAAAACATGACAACAGATCACCATGGCAACGGATGTAAATGGCAATTTTTATAAAAACATGCGTTGCTATGGAAATCTGTCAACAACACCAATTTTGATTGGTTAAAAACGACTGGAAATTTTTACAAAATTTTCCTTCGTCTCAGACGTGCTTCAAACACCTGTTGATTTTAAGTAGTAATTGTCAATTACCACCAGTTAAAAGGACCGTAAAGTTTATCGTTTAAAAGTCCGCTCGCAGCCATCGGATGGAAATTCTATTGTGTTCGATTGTCGGGAATGTAAGTTTTCCAATTACAATTGAGGCTCTTTGGTTTAGCACACTGTAATGCGGTTTAAGCCTAACATGTGAAATTTGGTAACCAAATAAAGAGATTCAGTCCTGCTTTAAATTTTATTTTTAAATATATAATTCTAATTGTACGTATTGTAATTTGAATTCAATTGAGAATTAAAAATTATATTTTCCTTTTGTTTTGTTTTGCATGTCAATAATCCCCATAAAATTAAAGCTTCTGACTGCAGCTTTTTCTTAAGCGCCAGCATCATAATGGTATCCCAAATGCTCGTAAAGAAACCTTTAATGTTATTAAGTATGGTGCTGCCATCTATAAGAAAAACCACCATAAATGGTGAATAGTGAAATTTTTAAATTTAACTTTAATTTAATATCGTTTCACAAGTTATTATGATGTCCGAGTGTTTTCAGATTTATGGCCATTTTTTTATTAAAAACGATTTTATAAAGTGGTAAGGTGTGTCCATAGATATGAGAAAGTGACTAACTGATACGAATTAAGGAAAGACTCTGGCAAGCTGTAAGAATCAAATATGGCCGAAGAGGTCCGTACTTTGCTTAGAATTTAATTATTTGGGGTTTTGTTAGGAAAGATACTAAACAATATTTATTTATTTATGTACCTATTTATGTTTAAATCTAAAATAAAATTACTACCTACTTAAATTACTTAAAATAATTCACATAATATGTCAGTATCACTATCATCGCTTGTTCTATATTATTTGCAATATGATTATACCATTGTTCTGCTTTTTCTATATATTTAACAGAATTTGCCCAAATTTGTGGAGGGATGTTAAAAACTTCGGTTTCTATAAGTTTGAGGACAAAATAGTTATTCTTTTACCCCTTTTTTGAGTCAACCCAACCCTTTTCTGGGGTATCATAAGTGTCGAACCAGGTTTCATCCAAGCAAATAATTAGCCTTTGTTGTTCTCTGTAAATCCTATTTTTTTCTATATAATCCAGTCGCCATTTCCGAATTCTAAAAGATTCCATTAAAACTTGCCTTTCGTAAATTTTTTTAAATCTAAAACCCATGTGTTGAATACACTTCCATAATGTAGTTCTGCCACATTTAACATCGGTTTCAAGTTTTTCAAGCCTCCTAATTAAGATATCTAATGTAGGCACTCTTTGTTCCTCGTATAACTGGTAAATTTTACGTCGTATTATATCTTGATCACTTTCATCTACACTCGAAAAAATGTCAGCATCGCTTCTTTTTTTCCTCGCTGAAATGGATTATTCACAATTTTCCATACAGTTGATGTTGGAATTTTCATCAATGTGGCCGTTTCTTCTAAAGATGCTTGCTTGCTGGCACCACGTTCCATGAGAGTCAAATAAACATTGTTTATCAATATATACCAATAATATACCAAACCAAAGAATATCAAACACAGTTAGGTACATAATTATTTTCTATTAGGGACCACAATTTTACCTTAATTTAAATTCCGAATCTTTAGGTAATAATCTTGTTGCATTGTATGTTAATAATTTCATTCAAAAGCAATTGGTCACTTTCTTATATCTATGAACAGACCATACCCCTCATTTATACTGTACTGTGAAATTTTTAAATTTAACTTTAATTTAATATCGTTTCACGAGTTATTATGATGTCTCATGAGAAATGAGGATTTTTTTTAAGCTAATGAGTATATAACAAATGCGTTTTTATGTTTACTTCAACATAGGTAGATATAGTTTTAATTTTATTTATACGGTTAACGCAATACATAAACAATACGATTTGAATTGGGTAGTTGGGAGATTAATAATAAAAAAATTAGTTTTGTGATTCTGTGGAAAGCTTAGCATGCAACTGAAGTGTTTAAAAGCTTCTTCTTCATATAAATTCGCTTCATGTGGAAATAATTTACCAAATAAAATAAAAAACTTAAGCAATTAATTAAATTTCAAGGTTGAATTTCAAATATTATTATTGTCGTTAGAGAAAACAGTATATTAATCTTACTTTTGTTATTTTGTTATTGTTATTAAGTTGTCCTTAGCAACAATCCTCTATTCTAGAAATCATCTTAGGATGTTTGTTGACTACAAACTTTTGCATCTTTTGATAGTTTGCCTCGGGAATATCAATGTTCTTGACAAAATAACCTGAATAATCTTGACTTCTTCGAGATTCCACAGTTCTTTTCATTCTCGCTTTTGGTCAGCATATTTGTTCAGTTTTTCATTATATTTGTTTTCTATCAGGTGTTTGGGACCGCTATATCCAGAAGTAGCGCTTGATTGATTGACCTACTGCATCTCTCTGTAAATCATTAATAAATCTACCGTGTAGTTCTTTTTAACGCCAGTTTTGAACTCTGTCAACGTCAGTTTTTGTATCAAATGGCTTAAATAGCTTGATGAAGTTTTGGTGATAGAAAAAAATTCTTAAGCCTATAATTTGTTGACTGCAGGGGTCCTCCTCTTTCTCTTGGTAAGTCCCTTGTTAATTGATACAGTTTGGTAGTTCTAGATGTTTTTTGCAAGCGGCATATAGATGGCCACAATTCTGAGATTGAGTCTCCCGTTTCTAGTCCTGCATGCTTTATGTTGATTCTTAATTTATTATTTATTCATTATTATTAGTATTTACAAGGTTTTAATTAATCAACTATCAAGCCTTGCGTCGAAAGCCTTCTAGTAATCTTTATATGCCTATTAGAAATTTCCATTTTTATGC